TGTCTGTATAGACGTTTTAACAGAACCTAAAATAATGTAAATAACAATTTTTATGATGACTTTTAGCTTGAAATCATTTAACCATCAATGGAAACTTCTTTCATATTTCTGCTTGGGTCAATGCCATAGTTCAACTAAAATAAAATGCTGAAACGTACGTTACTTAACATAAAATGCGAGTTTAACAGTTTCAAAATTATAAGAGAGAAAAAAAAAAACCCTGATGTAGATTCAGAATAGAAACTCAAGCCTTTGTTTAATCAATATCATATGATTCAAACTAAAAATGTCTTTCAAAATAATTTTAATTCATGTTTTTCTTCAGAATTAATGTGTATGTTCAATAATGCGCCTCTACACTGTAAAAACTGTGTTTAGAAAATAAACACTTCCATTACGTGTTTAGACCTAAACATGTTTAATATTATGTTTAAAAACTAAACACTTACGTTTTAACATGTGTTATATCTAAACGCGTTTAGATATAATACGTGTTTAGATATAAGTGTTTAGAAATTGAACACTTTTCCTTGAAATACAGAGTTATCTTCCCGGAAATGACGCGTATATATTTGAACGTTGATTAGAGCGGTTATCAAAACAAAGAAAATCAAATGTAAGCTAAAGAAGATGTATCAAAGGATGTGAATGATAACCAAAGTGATAACCATGAAGAGATTGTGAAGGACATTTGAAAGGTGTCTTATTACTACGATAAAGGTCTGTTTACTATTTTTATTTTACATGAATTGACCACAATGAGCAACGTAAATATAAACATGCAGTTACATTAATGTAGATCAAGATTTCCTTCGGTTATTTTGCATTCATGAAAGCTATAAAGGAGTATCTATATTGAATTTCATTAAAAACATCTATATCAGTAAATAGTACTATATAATAGTTAAATGAGCTTCACTTAAAGTTGCACAATAATGTCTATCAAACAAATGTAAAATTTCAGTGAGGAGCATACTTTTACTAAAATTTAAATTTCTTTCTTACAGGATATGGTACAGATCGAACTTAAAAGCAAAAACACATGTATCAGAGTAACTGGTGTCATCTCCAATTTTAAGTTCAAGTGCATTTGTTGTTACAATTCAGCATTTCTCACATTCTAAAGGAAACTGGAATTTGAAAAGTCTACTGTTCGGTAGTTTTCAATATTATACTTTCATGTAAATTAGTTGAATCTGATTCGTCGAGAAACATTTGTTAAAAAACACTATTACCCGCTGAATAATGAAGCCACGCCCACCAGCGTAGCAACAGTTAACATTGCTTGACGACGGGTGTTATTCCAAAAAATATTGACTGCGCAGAATTCATGCGCGCAAGGTTCACTGTAATATGTATTTGTATAAAACATTCAGTATAATATAATAAATACTGCATGTAGTTGAGTGTAACATTGAAAATTTTCACCCCTCGAAAACCATTGTCAACCTCGGCTGCGCCTCGGTTGACAATGGTTTTCTTGGGGTGAAAATTTTCAATGTTACACTCAACTACATGCAGTATTTATATAATATCATTCTTGTACATTGGAAATGGATTACTTCCTAACTCCTGACAGTCATGGATGGATACAAATCATACACTGTATGTGTTGCTAGTGAAGGACTTGCTGAACGTTAATAAATTTGATGAACCTTTTGTTACTGATGTGGGGAGAAACTGCTTGCTGAGTTGATTAATATTGGAATTAACTATAATAAATGATTATGTTTAAGCATACATGATTGTATATTTAATTGAAAATTCTTTATAATAAATCTATGTTTAAATGTTCAGTGATGTTATTGATAGTTGTTCCTTTCTTGTGACATGGGTACCTTTGAAGTTAAAAATTTTGTTATCTATATGTACATACCAGTGCATTAATATGCTGTATTTCTAGAAGACTTATCAAATACATTCAGTTTTCTTGTAACCGTTTATCATGTAAACAATTGTTCTGGAACCAATGTTGTAGAACTAAACATGTTAACCAACTTAACACCTGAAGTTAAAATGTGTTTAGAAATGAGACGTGTTTAGAGCTAAACGTGTAAAAAAAGTGAAACAAATTATGTGTTTAGCTAAAAGTGTTTAGGGATTAAACATGTTTAGCTACTAAACACATGAAGTCTACGTGTTTAGAAATGAGACATGTTTAGAGCTAAACGTGTAAAAAAAGTGAAACAAATTATGTGTTTAGTTTTGTGTTTAGGATCTAAACACTGTTTTTACAGTGTAGAATCAGTTTATAATAAAATTTATTCAACTTAAGCTTAAAATGATACAAATCAATCAATAAAGTTTACATTCGAACAATAAGTCATGAAAGAAATTCTATAAATATTGTTGCAATTTTCATATATGATTTGTTAAAAATTTCGTAACATACGTTACCTTCGGTAACGAATGTTTCAACACCTTTCAAGACTCATATCTAGGACATTCAGTTGTAGATTGATACTGGTTGCGTAGTTGTTGTCGGTCGTTATATAAATATTAACAGTTACATAATTTGATTCATTGTTATTGCATTCTAGAAAACAAACTCACCAACACTGTCTAGACTTAAGAAAAAAAGTCAAAAAAAGGCAGTACCGTACTCCGGATGTCAAAATTTGAATACTGCCGCAAAATATTTTACCACGTATGTGTGCAGAAGATGTTTGAACTCATAAATCATTCTTTTTCAAGAGGTTTGGTAACGAATGTTTCGGTAACGGTTGTTTCATTTAATCATTTTCTCTTAAATAGTAAGCTAACAATAAGACATTGTTAAATCATGGTTGGAGCATGGAATACAGTTGTTGGATAGAAGAAAAAGTATCACATGTTTAACTATGATATCATTCCATTTCATCTATTAAACTAATACAACGAATGTTTCATGCCTATCCATACGCATGTAAAATAGGAAGATAGAATTTAATTTCAAAGTATTGATAACATATACAAGGCTTTGTACCATTTATTTTTAATTTTCAAGAAGTTTCCTTCAAAATAAAACGTATTCCAATTTTACAGGCATACAATACCGAATATTCATACTATAATATTTACATTTCCAATGTCTTTGTCCGAGATAAAATTACAAATTGTAAAAATACTTTATTTCTACATAAATCTACTGGTTCATCGATAGGCGCAGTTAAAAAAAAATCACGTGCGGGGCGGGACAAATAGAGACAGAAGCGGGGCTATTAGCACGGGAATTTGCAGAATCAGGAGCATGTAAATATAAGGAATAACTGTCAGATTTTTTGGATTCATGACGATGATCAATCGATTGGCTTGCGTGATAAATTTATGCATAAACGCCTTCGGCGTTTATGCAAATTATCACGCAAGCCACTCGATTGATCACACCATGAATCCAAAAAATTAGACAGTTATTCCTTAATTTAATGTCACAGTCCGTTTTTATTTTGTTTCTGGCGACATGGGGATATCAAATCAAAGTTTGGTAATATATTTGTGATTATGCTCAATAATTTATTAAAAGCGTTTTACAAATAAATGTTTTGAAGACATATGCTATCTAATTTAAGATTGAACTGTTGTTTGTACAAAAAGTAGCCAGTTAAGTGGAATTATTCGATGTTAGCAACAGTAGCGTACGTTTCAAAAAATCACTATATGCCAAATAAAATATCTCAATATGATTTTTTTACTCCATTTTTGTATTTTTGCCTTAAAGGTTACATATTCATGCATTCATTCAAAAAGTATTTTCTTTGACATTTCATTATATTTTTTACGCTTAACCCCCAGCGACATCATTTGCACCATTTTATTGAGCTTGAGTGAAATACGTTATATATACGTGTGTGATGTTTGTACTGTTTATCATGAGTTTACAAGCATTACAATATCGGACAATGAAAAATGCATGATAAGCGAAAAACGAGCTCGTCCAAAGTACAAATACATGACTTTATTCCAAGTTCTTTATGTCCTGCAACATTTATCCGTATCTTCACAATCTGTTGTTCAAAGGACCAATAATTCATTTTCAGAAAAATCAAGCCATGGCACATCAAAAACAATCGAGTGCCAATGAGAGCCTTGATATTTTGAATTATTGTAAATCTTTGTCAACATCTTGTACTTTCATACTTAAAAATCAATATCCAAACCAGTATTTATAATGAGCTGATTGTTACACTGTATTCTTCGGGAGAAGAGTTAACATTCTTCAACAGCATCATGGGAACTTATCACTGTGTTTATGCAAGTAAGTCGTTAGATACACTTCACTTTCATTAGGAATATGATTAAATCAAAACCGTACGTGTACTTGTAACTTCAAAAATATTTCACAAGCCTGTCTTTTATAAAGATATAATATATTTAATATGACTTTTCCATTTCTTTGTAGAGTGCACAATTGTACATGGAAAACGTATGTATAATATTTATGCACTGCTCTTTATTCTCAATTATTTCAGAGATTTTTATATATAAATAATTATTATAATTGCACTCCATCTTCAAAACACCTCCATGTTCCTTCCTGCATTTAAGAGAAAACCTTTGTCGCTTTATCATAATGATAGATTTATAATTTAGGAGATGCGGATTATAATATGAAGCCTGTGGGAAACTCTGCAGAAGGTATTAATAATGTCTACAGTAATGTAAAATTTTCATTTCTGGTTGTGTGTGTCTTATAATGTTAATATGTTTTGTTTACTTTGAATTCTTTTAAAAATTATAAATATTCCTTCTACCTTTTATATGACTTTTATCTGTTAATTTTTCTTCATGATCTTGTGACTTCAATTTTCAAACGTTTCTTAAAATACGGACAATGAAGAAATATAAACTTCTGAAAGAAATTGGGAAAAAATTGCATCATTTCGTCTTAACGTTGTTATTACATATACATCGATCGTTTTGCCTATTGGATACAGTTGAATTCAACTTTTTTCCCTTACTTTACCGCTAAACTTTCAATGTTTGCATGAAATAATATTCCTTTTTTTAATTAATTTAGTTTTAGCCATGCAGAGGGCCACAAGTTTGTGTTTTGCAATCCTTGCTGTTAAGATGTGTATGGGCAAGAGATTCAACAGAACACCGGAAACTCCAGAGGAGATGAAACTAAAAAGTATCTGGGTGGAGGGAACGGATAAAATTTCTGAAACCACGGCCCTCCCAGAAAGTTTTGATCGGACCAAGGACACTGCTGTCATAATTCATGGCTATTTAGTGGATACTACATTACCAGGCATACAAGATCTAGCTCTCGGTCTGAGAAAGGTGCGACTGTAATCCACTACCGATGTTTGCTTCAAATATATTTTTGATTGTGTCTTGTGCATGTATTGAGGTCGACTAAAAATCATATTATTCTTTTTTATTTACATGTATTTATTTATTTATTTATTTATTTTTTTTTTTTTTGAATTCTTAATTAAACAAACCTTCAAACCGATACTATTTGTCTTCTTATGCATAAATTTTCATATATTTAAGACACGAAAATTTGACGGACACAATCATTTTTCTTTACCGAGTGATGATGTGATGATGGCTACTTTATTTATTTTTTTTTTTTAGAGAAACTACAATGTCTTGATGGTAGATTGGGCGACAGGTACAACTGAAGATTATGATCAAGCCGCTTCTAACGTACAAACAGTCGGGGCTTATGTGTACCAAGTTCTAAAACAGAACTCCATTCCTCTGGACAAAGTGTATATCATTGGACAAGGTCTGGGGGCACATGCCGCAGCAGAGGTCGGAAAATTATCCAATGGGAAAATTGCGCGAATTACCGGTAAGAGTTCCTCTGAGAAGCGTTTTTTTTACTATGAATATGTAAAAAAAAAAGGGGGGGTGATAAACTTAAAGTGCTGGGAACTAGTTATTTAAACTATTATATAACTACTAAATTAAACTATTATAGGTCTTGATCCATCCAGTCCTTTGTTTGAAAAATCACAGTTCGGAATTACCAAAGAATCGGCTCAGTTTGTGGATATTATTCACACGGATGCAAGACAATATGGTAGGAAAACATTGACATACTCAATTAAAGAAAAGCATTTTATTTTACAAATTCAACAGCAAGTATGCAGGAACATGTTGGCAGGAACATATTGAAAGTATACCGTTTACGACTTACAATTTCAGATTATGCTACAAGTACCATTTTTGTTGCAGTTGACTTTGACTTGTTAAATAATAACTTATTGCAATACGTACATGTATACAATTGCACTTTTAAGACTTTGAAATAAAACTTTTTTTTACAATATTCCGGCATCAAGGCTAGTCGAGTATATTGATAATTTTGACTTGATGATAAAATACAATTGTTCTTCTGAGTTTCCTAATTCTCTATGTCAGGTTACGGAATGAAAAAAGCCTGTGGTCATTTGGACATCTACGTAAATGGAGGAAGACGTCAACCTGGGTGCATCTATAACCCAACAAAACCTGTCAGCATCCCAGATCTAAAAGGTAAGGTTATAAACCAATACAATTACTTGGAACTCTTCAGGAAGAGTGAAATCAAAATGTGAAATCTGAAGTGTTTGAGAGTTTTTTAAGGTAGTAAAAATATCATACTATGTTCTTTTCAGAGGCGACTTCCAGCAAAGCTTGTGGCCACTTGAAGGCCATTGGATACTACGTGGAGTCTATTTCTGACCAATGTAAGCTGAGAGCCTGTGAGTGTACATTCCAGAAATTCCTTCAATCGAATTGTAGCTGGACTAAGTGTGTTTCCTGGGGTTATAACGCCACAAAGAATGTCACGGGACAGTTTTACGGGGTGACCGCTACCTCTTTCCCGTACTGTAGAGCTAACAGAGCTTAATAAATTTGTTCCTCTTAAAAATAAAAAAAAAGTTGCTTAGCACATGCCTACTTTCTTTCTTTTATTTATTTATTTTTTTATTATTATTATTATTATTTATTTGTTTCTTTGGTTAATATTTTAAGGAGGTGCCATATTCTGTTTAAATGCTGAACAAACTACTTATCTATATATAAGACTAAAATATGACAAGTTTGAAATCTCTTTGTTTAATAAAGACATGAATTAATTTAAAATAATTCTTCACAATTTGATGTAATAGAAATAAAACATTTTTGTGACCTACCTTAGTTTAGATACATGCGAGGCCAGTAGCAACGGGGCTGCCTCCCCAAAAAATCTGACATGCAAAAAACAAAACGTACATACACACACACACACACCCCCTCACACACACACACACACACACACACACAAAAACAACAACAATAAAAACACCAAAATTGTCCAAAAAGCGGGGGGGGGGGCGCAACTTCCCAAAATAATCTCACAAGGAAAATAAGTAAATTAAAAAAAAACCTAATTCACTGTCCAAATCCCGGAATTTGCCAGTAGTTCCACCAACTGAGCTATCTGGCCACCTGCGATCGAACCCACCCGACCGCCACATTCCTCCCCCAAAGGTCTTCGCCCCCGAAGACATCAACCCAGGCTCTTCCCGGGCAGTAATCTCAGAGAGATTCGTTGAGACTAAAATTTTTGTACTGCGTCTCTTCGGTAGAGGTCAGGTGTTTCGCCTGTCACTGAAATATGTGCCAAGAAGATTGTTTTAATGTACACAGAAGAGCATAAATAAATGGCTTATATCAGAGGTTTCGTATATTTATTATTATTTATAATCAAACAGACAAGATAAAATACTGAGACGCTAATCACCATCCTGAAACCATGGAAACCGAGCCTCTTGTAATTACATCGGGTTCGAGCTCTGTGTTTTTGACCACGTGGGAAAACATTTGACAGGCGATTGTCGATTGACTGAATGACTGAGTAAAGTTACTTACTTACTAGAGTAGAGAACTTCGACAGCATTTCCTGAGTGTAAGTTAATCGCATTGAGAAAGTGGCACATTCTGTGTTAGATACTATATCCGTGTCTGTAGGAACTCCAAGCTTCGAACAATTAAGTGTATGTAATATATTATTGTTACATCTGCTTGTGAAACTGTCAACTAGAATTTCCTCACCCAATATGTTAAAACATATCGTAATGATGTCATTAAAACATTAATTCATTCCGTTATTTAATGTCATTGTTACCAATGTATGCACTAGTACTTGTAAGTGTTTGTTTCTTTCTCATGAACTCGCACTGAAGAGCATAACATTGTCATCTGATAGTTAAAACATGTATAAGTATAAACATGTATATATCAGGTATTTAACATCTTCACAATGACAGGGGTCCTTGTACCAGTCGTGGCAGTGAGACCCCTGACAAACTTCACTTCAATTACTGAATCAACTAAGAGACAATTCACATTTTGACTGATAATCTGAAGTTGTAACACCTAGGTAATGGTGGGTTTGCCCAGATTACATGTTTGCTCTGAGTGGTTTCATTGCAAGTGGTTTTGCCCCATTATATCTGTTACCTGTAATTAAAAGTTGTCAAATTTTTATGCCCCCGGATCAAAAATTCCCGGGGGTATATTGTTTTTGTCCTGTCTCTCTGTTTGTCTATTTGTCTGTCTCTTGTCAACTTTAACCCTGCCCATAACTTTTGATTGTTTGGAGCTATGACTTTCATATTTCACATGTGTATTCCTTGTGACAAGACCTTTGTTTGGGTACCATCATATTTGACCTTGACCTTGGAGTTTGACCCACTTTTGCAAAATTTTATGAGACTTTAACCTTGGCCATAACTTCTGAACAGTTGGTGTTTGGGTTTCAAACTTCACATGTGTATTCCTTGTGACAAGACCTTCCTCAGGATGTCAACCACTTTGACCCTTTGACCTTGACATAGGAGTTTGATCTTCCTCAGGATGTCAACCACTTTGACCCTTTGACCTTGACAAAGGAGTTTGATCTACTTTCGAAAAACTTTCACCTTGGTCATAACTTTTGAATGGTTGGTGCTTTGGCTTTCATACTTCACATATGTAATCCTTGGGACAAGACCTTTCTTTGGATACCACCAACTTTCACCTTGACCTTGATGTTTTACTTACTTTTAAAAAACTTTAACCTTCGCCATAACTTTTGAACAGTTGCAGCAAGGGCTTTCAATTTTCACAGGTATATTCCTCGAGACAAGACCTTTCTTTGGGTACCAACATTTTTTATCTTTTGGACTGGATTTTGACTTGCATTTGAGAAACTTGAACCTTCACCATAAGCTGCCATACGGGGGCATCAGTGTTTCACAAACACATCTTGTTGTAGTATATTTTAGGTAGATCTTGACATTCAATGCAGTTTAGCTCAAGACTTTAAGGATAAGAGGTCTTCCTACGTGTACATTTATTTCAATGTTGATGAAATGGGAGGGTGAGGTGTCATAGATGTCCATATAACACATTTGAGGTTGTATTTCTGCTTGTCACAAAGGCCCAAGAAGTTGCGATTGGACCCTCATACTCTCTGGATTTACCTAAATTTTTTCAATATTTGATTTGATCCCCAAATTAAATGCTATTACATATGTATAATTCAAATGCCAAATTTCCCAATTTTGGAACTTTAACCATTGTCATATCTAACAATACATTATTGAAAAAAATGCTTGATCAGAACAGACACTTAAGGAGGTTGGATCCTGTCGTCAAAAGTAATGAGAAGTTTTTATCAAGTATATCTTTAGAATCTACACACGTAGCTTAATTAAAAATGAAAACAAAAAATGGGAGTCAATGCACTTCTTTTGGCGCTACAGGGCATTTAGTTTGAACTTTTTGCACTGTAAATACATCTTACACATGATTCAATTTTTAAAGTTTTCCTTCCAATATTTTTTTATTCAAATAAATTATGGGAAAAAACAGTCTTATTTCATTTTGAATAGATACATTAAAATTTGTGACAACAAAAATTTTTTAAATTACTTCGCATGTTTAATTATTTGACCTTGTGCACTCAAAAATATCATTTTTCTGGCATTAAAAATTTTAACAAGCAATAAAATCATTTGAAAGTAATGACATTTTACTGAATTTAAGTAGAATGGTAAAAAATATTTTATATATTCAGAAAATAAAATAAAAAGTGGGGGCCTGTGATGTTAATTTTTAGATAATACTAAAATAGTGCTAATTTTAAGCAAAAGTTAGGGCTATTTTTTTCCCGTATTTTCGCAATACATTTGCTATATTTATTAAATATGATGATAGAATTCATGATAGTTTATTTAATATATAATTTAGGACCAGCATGAAACAGTTCATGGCACAGAATAACTCTGTGTGCAGGCTGCATGGAAAAATAGGAATCCAAACTTAACATATTTCAAATACTTTGAAGGAGATGAAATGATCATTTTCATCTAAAAATCCATCCGCCACAAGATATAGTTCCTCTCTTTTAAGAATGTGAGCATGAGTTTTGATTTTCCCTTGTGACATGGCACTTGTATGGGGTTCAATGTTTGTGACATCAAAATAAAATTTGGTACTGAACTTTTTGACCACACCATCGATATTGTTATTTTATAAATGCTGTAACTTTCAACATTTTTTAAGGGAATTACATATTGAATGTACGTGTAAATAACAATATGTAGATGTTTAAAAAGACATGGACAAATATCAAGACTCAAGATTTACCAACAGAAAAGTTATAGAAATACTTTTTGGACCCCTTTGTACTTGTTGAGCAGTCAAAGTGTCATCATGTCTGTGTTGTGTATCTGTCTTCTTGGAGTATACTGATCAATATTTTGTTTGTTTGTTTGTTTTATTTTGGTTACTCACTTAAATTTTCTGCATTTAAAGTTTAAATCTTAAATGCGTGAAAGTCAAATCTTAATGATAAATAGTAGAAAACTTACAATATTAACATGCATTTTGGTTGGTATGCAGGACCATTTGAAATGTCCTAGTGTTGTTTTTGACTCTGAAATAATAGTAAGTTGGATATATTTCACATACTGGTATCTTTTTGTTTTACTCCAACGTACATTTCAATACCAAGAAATTTTGATTTATTTTAAACCAAAAGTAGAGAAATTTTTAATTCATGTTGCAATGATTCTCTTTATTTTAGTGGTTAGTAATTTCTTAATGTGCTTGACTTCCAGATAAAAATTAAAACAAAACATGGGCAGACTGGCAAGAAAAAAGCAACACAAGGGAGATAAACCAATCAAAGAGAAATATAGAACAAAGAGAAAAACAAAAGACTTGGATGAAATCCATGAAGACATGAAACCGGGCAAATCACAGAAACTACTAAATCAGGATGTGGATTTTGACAAACCAGGGGCGGGGCAGTTTTACTGTCTACACTGTGCGTAAGTGCTGAGCAATAACCATTTTGATATACTAAAATCTTAGTGGATCAAAAATTCATATTTTTTTCATATCTCCAATGTAAGAATGCTACCACTATTCATGTTTATTTCTGATGTTTCAATGCAATTGTATCATATTATTTTTAATTTTCATCATAATTATTAATATTATTTCATTTCTGTCTTTTGCAGGAAATATTTCGTAAATGAGGACTCTTTGAAGACGCATTTTAAAAGTAAACCTCATAAAAGGAGGTAAGCAGGAGTTATCTTTCTTAGTAAGATAAACCTTGTTAATTAACATTTTGCCATCCCTCAAATTCTTTCATTCAGCGATTACAGTATATGTCAGTTAAACAATTTACAAAAAAACTTCTTAAAATTCACAAAATAAAGTTTGTTTATGAAGTAGATCATAATAGATTGTCATTCTGTGTAGTAGAAATCTACAATATTGTTTTAGGTAAGGAAATTACTCACAATTATAGATATTTTATAGTTAAATGTAAAAAAAAAAAGTGTGAAAAAATATATCTCATAACTTGAAGACAGGGATGCATGTATATGTATATTGTTTTGGATGTTAAGTTCCTTGAAAAGTTTTTAGCAACTTATTTGTTTACATGAAATTCACATACATGTAGCAATAGCCAATACAATAGAATGCAGTCTTTGCAATGTATGGTACCTTTCTATATGGGTACTAAGGTCAAGTTTACCCTTAAATTGTCAAGGTGCACCTTCTGTAGTGAAACTTGATGCCACATACATCGTGGCAGATTTGAGCTGACAAGATGGACAAAATGTCTTTACATCCATTTCATAATTCACATAAAAAGATTTTAGATTAACATTCATATCTTAATCTTCATTGAGCTGTTATAATGGTGGACATTCCCTATAAAATTTGTTTTTGTTTCTCTTTTCTGATCATTGAAAAAATTCTGCAATAGAATATATTATTTATTCATATTAAAGGACAATAATAACGAGACAATTTACCAGCAAATTATGCCAAAAAATAAATGGGTCATCAGGCTTAGATTTTTCAGGGGGCATGTCAAACTCAGGTGTAGGGAACATTTTGGGGGGAAATTTTCAATGAAAATACCTTGGCCAAATAAATCATTTATATATAAAATTAACAAATGAATATAAATCGAAATATTTACAATATTTTTGAATTGAGAGGAAATGTTTGAATATCTTCAAAAGATTTAAAAATGTATATTTTTCATCTTTTGCAATGCATAATTAAGTCAATTTGATTCAAGGCATATGCGCAGTTTTCTGCGCAGTGGCACGAAATTTCGAATTAGGTCCGTCGTCCTTAAGTGATTAAGATTAACTGAATATCTTCCATGTGAATCTATGTTAGGACCACTGTAAACATTTTTTTTTTTTTTTTTTTTTTTTTTTTTTTTTTTTATTAAATGATATATTTATTTTCAATAACATACAACAAAATATTGAGGCAAAACTTCCGCAGAAGCCCTCTGTATATACCTCACCTGGGGTGCCAGGAGCTCCCTGGATCGGTATTTTTATTATAATATTTAATTTACAAAATAATATACATTAGATGAGAAAAAAAAATTACATGTACGTATACATATCATTGCTGACATTTCATTTCTATACATATGCTTATATATCATTGTATAATATTTTTTATAAATAAAATAAGTATCATAGATGAAATATCTTAATTTATATACTTCTCAAAATACATACACAAAGAAAATCATATTTGGTCAGCTAACTTTTTTAAAAGGTGGTAATTTAATTGAACACTTTTTGCATCCTTTGCTACTAAATAATACTGATATAATGATGATTTTAAAAAAGATAACATTGCATGTGCATTTACATTTTCATTTTGTAATCTACATTTCATTTTATACTTGTATATTTTGTAACCTACAATTGATATGACATTATTAAAAATTTTTGTTGTTTCGTTAAACTCATTAAAAAATCCTACAACAATATTTTTCCAGGATATATTTAATTTCAATATTTTTGATATTTTTTCCCATAATCTTTTTGAATCCGAACATTCTAAAATTAAATGTTCAATATATTCTACTTGTCCACAACTTGTACAATTTTTCCCCACCTCTTTATTCCATTTACTTACATTATAATTACAGTTCAGCTGATTATGTAAAAGTTTAAAATTGAATTCTGCTATCTGTTTATCAAATACATTTAATATCTTAGCTGTATAAATATTTTTCCATTGACCATTTGTTATATTGAATTCTTTTGACCACTTCGTTTCCATTATTGGCTTTTGCTTCTTTTTAGAAAGTAGAATTTTATAATAAAATCCTGATTTTTCAAATTCTGGGTTTCTACTTTTTCCTTGAAAATAAAAATAGGGTTTTTGTATATTAGTGTTTTTTACATTACAGTAATCTATATTTAGCTTTTTAATTGCTTTTTTCATTATTAGATATTCACATAAGTAATTACTTTTTGATTCAATGATCTCTTTTACATCCGTAATATCTTTCATACCTTCTGTTGTAAACAGATCTTTTACGTATAGAACACCACTTCTTGCCCAGTTTTTTAGATATAGTGGTTTATTGTCGTGTTTAATGAAACTGTTTAACCATAAGTTTTCTGTAATTTTATTACGCGGTGATAACGATTTACATTCGTTAAAACTACAGAAAATATTCTTGTAAAATTTCGAGAATTTGTTTAAAACGTTGAAATCATTCGGATTTATAATATTACTACGTAATAGGTATTCAAAGTTTATTCCATAACTTTTTAATGCGTTATCTAAAAAAATTCTAAGCGTAGAGTTCTCATTGTATAGCCTTTTGATCCATCCGGCTTTTACGCTTTTAAGTTTGCATTCGATATCTATTAAACCAAGACCACCCTCATTTATTGGCCTTATAAGTGCATTGCGTTTAATTCTCTCTCTCTTATTCCATAAAAAATTGTAAATAATTTTATTTATACTTTTAATGCATTCGACATCTGGATTTTCGAGAACTGTAAACACATATAATAATTTAGACACTATGAGTGAATTAATAACGGTACATTTTCCGAAAAAAGTTAAGCTTCTTGTTCTCCATGAATCTAATATTTTTTCAAATTCTTTAAGCTTATGCAACCAATTTTTTTCATTATTAGATATTTTGTCGTGTCCTAAGAAAATTCCGAGTGATTTAATAGGTTTATTTGTCATTTTAATTCCTTCTATATCTTCTCGTGTGTTTTTAAGGGGTCCCAAGAGAATACCCTCTGTTTTTTCTAAATTTAACTTAGTACCAGACATTTTCCCAAAAGATTGTATAACTTTAATAGACGCTTTTAAGGATTCAGTATTTTTCATTGGCAAAGTGCAATCATCTGCATGTTGTAAACATTTTATTTCGTCTGAGTGTCCAATTTTGAAACCTTGTATACTTTCAGAGGCATTTATTTTTAATACCATGATTTCAATAACAAAAAGAAAGAGCAATGCTGAGACGGGACATCCTTGCCTAATGCCTCTTGACATTGTACATTTTTTAGTTAACCAGTTATTATTTTTAACATGAAAATAAGGTTTTGTGTATAAAATTTTTATCCATCTTAGGAAATTATCTCCAAAATTGAATTTTTTAAGAGTTTGAAACAAGAAGTTCCATTCAACTGAGTCAAAAGCTTTTTGGAAATCGGCAAACAATAGTATTCCTTCTTCATTATTTTCTTCACAATAATCGTATATATCTAGTATTAACCTTGCATTTTCACCAATAAATCTTCCTTTGATATATCCAGTTTGATTTTTATTAATGAGTTTGTCCATAATCATTTGTAGTCTCTTTGCAAATACGAAGGCTATTATTTTATAGTCGCAATTTGTTAAACTAATAGGACGATAGTTATCAAGATTTATTAAGCTCCCTTTTTTGTGTATGAGTGATAGAACAGAAGATCTCTGCGTAAATGATAATTCGCCTACCTCGAAGGATCTCAATAGGCTTTCATATAAATAAACTTTTACATATTTCCAAAACATCTTATAAAATTCCACGGGAATTCCGTCTAATCCCGGTGATTTATTCAATTTCATATTATATACAGCTTCTGCACATTCTTCAATTTCAGGAATTTTATCGCAATTTTCTCTATCTTCATCAGATAGGTAATTAGTAAGTTCCGTTTCTTGCAAATATTGATTAATATCGTTGACTGATATATTGCTAGACGAATATAGTTTTTCATAGTAGGAACTTAGTGCATTTAAAATGTCTTGAGTTTCATAAACACAGTTATCTCCCACTGATAATTTATTTATGACATTATGTGATTGGTGTTTATTTTCTAATCTTAAGAAATAAGATGTGTTTTTTTCTCCGTCGTCAATCCAACGAGCTTTGGCTCTCACCCTGGCCCCCTTTGATTTATATGCATATAACTTATCTAGTTCTTTTTCCAAATTTCTTTTAAATATCATATTTATATCATCAGACTTAGACATTTCAATTTCTTCAATTTCTTTTTCTATTCGTTTAATTCTATTTTTTACGCTTTTGTTTTTCGATTTAGAATATTCAATGCATAGCTCTTTTATTTGATATTTGATCATTTCCCATCTTATTTGTGGATCTGTTTGGTTGCTAATATTTTCAGGTAGATCTTCAAAGAAGTTTTTGATAATGTTACAAAATTCCACGTCTTGTAAAATCGACGTATTCATTTTCCAGTAACCATTACCTCTATTATTTTTCGATATAGTACAGTAAAAAATAAATGATCTATGGTCGCTCATTCTAGTATTTGAAACATCTGGAGGTTTTCTAAGTAATATCTTTTCAACCGGATAACATAAATTCTCTGAAGTGAATATGTAATCAATTCTACTTTTAGGTTTATTACTTGAATCGCACCATGTATTTCCTTCTTTTTCAGGATTAATTTTTTCCCATAAATCTATCAGCCGAAATTTAAACTTTAAATCATTAATCATTTTAGAACATTTGTTCTTTGCATTGTACAAGGAATTAAAATCCCCAACTAAAATTATGTTTTGTTCATTTAAACAATATTGAGAAACCCATGATGCAAGTTTTTTGAAAAATTTACATCTCTCATTTTCTGAATTTGGTGCATATATATTAACTAGAGTTATAACATTTTTTTCATACTCAATATTAATTAATATTCTCCTTCCATCGTCTGATTTGTGTACATTATGTACAGTGATAGGTAAACTTTCATGAAATAAAACAGATACCCCTCTACTATGAGATGAATTAGAAAAACAATGGTAGCTTGAACCATGCCATCTAGCATTGTAAATATTTTCTTTGTCAGTTACATAATGAGTTTCTTGTAGAAAAACAATTTTGCAATTAATATCATTAAGCCAATCATATAAAGTTTGCCTCTTAGAATAGTCATTAAGCCCGCGAGCATTTAACGACAGAAACTTTAAAACTGACATATACAGAAAAGTTCAATTTGTTCATTCATTTTAACTTATTAATTACCGTTTCTCTGTTGATCTTTTTTTCCTGCTTTTTCTAAGGTTTTCGGCGGCGCAAGCAATTATCTCCCCCATCATGTTTTTTCCTGGCCAGGCCGTTGGTGATGTTTTGATTGTTTCTTCAAATGACAGGGCAGTTCCCCAGTAAGGATCATAAACTGGGTGTCCAAAGAACACAGACGGCTTAAAGGAATTCAGTGTGTCTCTCATTTTATCGCATTGTTTTACCTTTTCTGCGATGATTTGTTCCATGACTCCCTTTTCCGTTTCTTTCCATTGATCTGATTTTTGGACAAGATTGCCGATGCGTTTTGCTTCTAGGGCAGTCTTGGCATTACGAATGCGCTCCGCTGCAACAACATCGCCGGATCTTAGCGCCTTTGCTGTTTGGAAGGCTTGCTCCGCCGACTTAAAAGTCTCTCCGAAAATCTTTAACTCACATGGGAAGAAATTTGACAAGACATTGTTTTCTCCCTGAAAGGTTTCCAAATTTTTTGGTTTTACGGGAATGTAGAAATCACATGATTCACACCCTGGTTTATGTCCAGATTTTTTGCATACTGCGCAACATGGCTCGTTTTCGCAATGAAACCTATTGTGCCCACTTTTCCAACAATTAGTACACGTGAGTGCTGGTTTGTCTATGTGTTGGTCTTGGTGAAACAGCTTACATTTAAGCCCGGCACAATACACATTTCTGGGTAAGCATGCATTAGGCGGCAAGGGTTCTATGTACAGAAAACGGTTTCCGTTTAAAACACTGGTCATTTTCTTTGTTTCCGGATTTCTAATTTTTTCATAATATATTTCAGTTTTCGGTGTGACTTTTAATTTTGAAAGCATTTCGAACACGGCACTATCATCCACTGATAGAGGGACGCCGCAAATTGTGATTTTTAAAGACTTATCATCGGGAGCTTCAAGGCCTGTTGAATAGGGATTAGAGTCATACACCCTGACATGTTGGCCCCCAATATCTAAGCCCTGCAGAAGAAGACCATCTCTTCCCTCTTTTGTGTTCAGATAGATCCGCCACAAATCCCTATCCAATTGAATACACCGGATGGTATCACCGACAACCTTTGTAGCACACTGCACAAGTAGAAAATTAGATATCTTGCCCTCCTTCGGAGCAAGGATTTCACTGTTCTTTAAATAAACAGGCTTTAAGATTTGCGACATTGTTCAATGAGCACTAATCGCTGATCACTAGCTCACCGACTCAGGTACAAATAAACAAGAAATATAAATGCACATAAATCCAACAGTTTTAGGAAATTCACAGAAAATTATATCTATATAGCCTATTTGTCTATATAAGCCACATAGAATTTGAAATGCGGAATATAAATCCAAGAAAATTGATCAAAAATACGGAGCTCGAAAGGTAACGTCCATACCCGTAAGCCCGTCACGTGATCCTGTAAACATTTTTAATTTTAGCTGTACTCACATTTTACCACCTTTTGGACTACTTCCTGTCCACTAAATAAAGTACACACTAGTACTCAGGTATTGAAGACCCTGGGCTAACAATAAAAAAAATATTTGTTTGATGTACTCTGACTGACCAGCTAAAATCACCACTACCCAATATTTTTTTTCAGTACTTTAGATTCTTTTTTTTCTTTGTTTTTCAAATAAGAACATACAGATCGTCTGTATTGATTATAAAGTTAAGTATGAGGTATAAAGTTCATTGAGAGACACATTAAGTTTTTACAGCCTTGTATAATGAAAAATATCAATAAATTTCTAAGTTTGTAATTTTTATGACATTTATCAGTGTGTTAGATAATTATACAATTCAAAAAAAAAATTCTAACCTACCTACCCACCTTGAAAATTGTACGGCAGAGTACAAACAAAAACAAAAATTTTAATGATGGTAATAGGTAAACTTTCTATACATTCTAACCAGGTGATACTATAAGCAGAGCAATATACACTAATTGCTGATGCAAATGCTCAGATGTAAATCGAGAGCTTTCCTTTAAGTAAATTTTGTGTGAAGTTAGCTTGATCATTTTAATGTTTTTTGGGTTTTTTTTTTTTCAGGTTAAAAGCCTTGTCCATAGAACCATACTCTATAGAGGAAGCAGAGCGGGCAGGAGGAATGGGATCTTATAAAGCTCCAAAGAAGGTTACCGTGGAAACACAGTTAACAAACATGGATACTGATGACACATAATGGATCTGACTCTGTATCTGTTACATTTTGAAATGAATATAAAAGACTGATATTTTTGATATCTCTAAAATCGTTTTATTGGAAGGAGCTGTAAGACAGATCCTATTTAAAAAAAATCCAGCAAAGCTTCAAAAAAGGATGATTTGGGGGGGGGGGGGGGTTAATTTAAGATTAGAGATGTTTAATTCATGGATTCAGATTTTACCCAATAAAAAAGTGTTGGAAGTAAATACATTCCAAATTCTGAACTTTGAATATTTCTTATGATCTGGGATATTAATTAACTAAAATTCATTCTGCTAGAACAATGGTCTTGTATTTATCATGCATGTCTTTGTTGACAAGTACTGTTAACTTAGGGAGACACTTAAAGTGGAACAATAGATGAGTATTATCCACATATCTGATTAAAATCTGCTGTCTTGATAGGCTACCACTTATCCTTGTAAGCGGTAACATATCAGAACAGCTGATTTTTATCAGATTGACAAGTGATGTCTATATAGGGTTATAGAATATTGAACAAAGAAATAGGTGATACATGTACAAGGAATCAGGACCCTATTTTTCCAAAAAAGTTATGACTTAGACCAAACTATGTTTTTGCAATTATTGTCTTTTTTACTTGGATATTAAAAATGAATTAAATTTAATCAAATAATTTGAAAAATGTTATAATCATTTTTTTAAAGAATTTTGAAATATATTTCTATAGAATTTTCAGCTCACCTAAGCTGAAAGCTTGAGTTTTTAGCTCACCTGAGCTGAAAGCTCAAGTGAGCTTTTCTGATCACCCGTTGTCCATCATCCATCCATCCGTCTAGCTGTCCATCCGTCCGTCTGGAAACTTTTTCACATTTTCAACTTCTTCTCAAGAACCACTGAGCCAATTTTAGCCAAAATTGGCACAAAGCATCCTTGGGTGAAGGGGAGTTTGAAGGGGAGATAATCAAGAAAAGAAAAAAATAGGGTGGGGTCATTAAAAAATCTTCTTCACAAGAATCACTGAACCAGAAAAGCTGAAACTTATGTGGAAGCATCCTGGGGTAGTGTAGATTCTAAATTTTACAAATCATAACCCCCGAGGGTAGGGCAGGGCCACAATAGGGAATCCAAGTTTTACATTGAAATATGTAGAAAATATCATGAAAAATCTTATTTTCTAGAACCAATGGGCCAGAAAAGCTGAAACTAATGTAGAAGCATCCTTGGGTAGTGTAGATTCTAAATTGTACAAATCATGAACCCATGAGGTAGGGCGGGGCCACAATAAGTATTACAAGGAGGAAAATCAGATGAAGAACAGCAGGGCCAAGGTTACTCGGGTGAGCGTTGTGGCCCATGGGCCTCTTGTTTGATCAGCCGTTGTCCAGCATCCGTCTACATGTCTATGAACTTTACACATTTTAGACTTCTTAACAGGAACTTTTGGGCCACTTTTAATCGAAGATAACTTGAAATATTCTTAGGTGAAGGAAATTCAAATTTTTTCAAAAAAGGTGGCCATGCCCCTTGTCAGGAGAGATAATGAACAAAAGGCAAAAATAGGGTGTGGTGATTAAAAAATCTTCTTGAGAACCACTTGCCTAGAAAAAGATGAAACTTTCATGGAAGCTTTCGTAGGTAATAAAGATTTTGTAAATTGCCCCTGGGTTTTGGAGGGGGAGGGATTGCACAATAGGTAATCAAAGTTTTACATTGGAATATATTGGAAAAAAGTCTTCTTTTTAAGAACCAGAAATAATGAAATTATGTGAAAACTTCCTAAGGTAGTGATAGTTCTAAAGTGTACAAATCATTGCCCCCTTGAGTTGGGTGGGGTCACAATAGGGGATCAATTTAATGGGACATTTTTTTCTTACATATGTTTTAAAGAACCACTGTACTTGAAAAAAATACAACTTATACATAATGTAGATTCTAAATTACTCAAATCATGGTCCCCTGAAGTGGTTTTGAGCCACAAGAGGCAATCAAAGTCTGTACATTGAAACATATTGGAACAAATGTTTAAAAATCTTCATCTAAAAAAAAATTGGACCAGAAAAGGTGAAACTCATGTGAAAACATTCTCAAATAATGTGAATTCAAAATTATGGACTATTTGTTAGAGCTGGCTAAAATTGGGATCAAATGTATTTATGTATACAGGAAAAGGATTTTCTTCTTCATAACAGCAAGATCATGTTAGTTCATATTGATATTGAAGCATGTGTGGATTAAGAGTCCCCTTAGAGTTAGGCTGCATGGGGCTAAAATATCAAGTCACAATTTTTTCATGGGGATATAGAAGGATAAAAATCTAATGAAGAACTTGCTTAGGTGAGCATTGTGGCCCAAGGACCTCTTGTTATGCAGAATATTTTGTAAGCAAGATGTTAGAAATAGTAAGAATTGTTGCTCTAGTTGTAAGCTCTTTATTTGTAAAAAGAGCCCCTGGTTGGGAAAATTGATTTCGGTCGGCAGGGGATGCTCACTCCTCCATGGCACCTGATCCCACCTCTGATGTTTTGGAGGTCTGTGTTTGCTCTGCTCCTATTTGTTTATTGTTTAATGGACTTTTGAGCTTGAATACTGTTCGTTATCTCCATATATTTCATTTCAGCTTAAGTTTGACAGGCCTTAATTTCTAATTTTCTTTTAATCTGTGTGAAGTCCATTAAGAGACCAGGAATCTGGAAATTGTTGTCCTTTGTTTATTGGGCTGTCTGTGGACTTTAACATGTTGCTAAATGTCACCTCAGAAATCTATCATTTTCAAACAAACTTGGTATAGAATCATCTTTTGTTCAAGGTGTACAAGGTTTTTAAAAATGAGAGTCCAAGAATGCTCGAAATGGGAAATTATAAAAGATGTAAAGTCCAAAATATTTTCTTGAAGGAAATAAACAAACCAGAAGTCTCTGACAAGACTGTAGCACCACTGGTTTTTAATTACTAAGCAAAGGTAGAGAAATGTATCACTTGGAATTGATACTATGGCAACAGCAACATAAAGATAATGACCTTGGTTTAGCCTCTTCCTACATGTACGTCAAGTTAAATTGCAATGGGACACAAATATTTACTATAGAAGGAGTAGCATTTTCAAAGAATTTCAAGCAAATACAATTTTAAGTGACTATGGCAACACCATTAATCAAACTTAAAAACTGATATATATATATATATATATATATATATATATATATATATATATATATATATATATATATATATATATATATATATATATATATATAGAATGATGTATTTCAATGTAGCCTACATGTGTACCCAGTTGTATTGAAATTGGACTAAAGCTGTAGGAGGAGTAGCAATTTGTAACCATTTCAGAAATTTCTATATTTTAGTAACCATGGTAACACCATTAATTGAAATCAAAAACGATCAACAGAATTGTGTATTTTAGTGTACTCTGTGTACCAAGTTATATTGAAATCAGACCAAAACTGTATGAGGAGTAACATTTAGAAAAATTGTTTACAGACAAACTGACAGACAGACGGACGGATAGCTTATTATCGCATAAGCTCTTCTGGTCTCTGACTAATATATATATAGAGCTAAAAATTACAAAGGTTATTTGGAAGCTATCTCTCGTGCAGGGTTGCCATTTGATTCTCTCATGATCCGATGGAAGAGAGTGGTTTGGAACATGTCATGTATTTTAAAGATTTAATAATAAATTCCCTCAAACCATGGTCCCCAGAGCCATGTTAGGGCAGTTCCGGTCCAAGTTTAAGCTCTACCAGTGAGAGACCAGAAGAGCTTGTTCATTAGTAAGGCGTCCGTCCGTCTATCAGTCTAGTTATCCGTCTGTCTGAAAACATTTTTTTTTTCAAAACGCTACTCCTACAGTTTTGGACCGATCTGAGGAAGACTTGCCACACAAGTCGATTATACTAAGATACATAACATAACATGTAAGTATCAGTTTTTCATTTCGAAAAACGGTGTTGCCTTGATTACTAAAAATAGAAATTTTCAAATTCTTTCAAAACGCTACTCCGCAAAAGTTTTGGTCTGATTTCGATAATGCTTGCTACACAAGTAGATTATACTAATGTACATAATTCTAAATATGGGTTTTTGATTTTGACAAAGGGTGTTGCCATGGTTACTAAGAATTGATTTTTTGGAAATTCTTTCAAAACACTACCCTTACGATAGTTTTGATCCGATATCGATAAGACTTGGCACACAAGTACTGTGACTATACTATGATGCATAATTCTAAAATCAGTTTTCGAGCGATGCGATGTTGCCATGGTTACTTAAACTAGAAATTTCTGTGAATTTCTTTCAAAAGCTACCTCCCTTACAGTTTTTGTTCAATTTAAGTAAAACTTGGTACACAAGTAGACTACACTAAGAGACAATTCTATATATCAATTTTTGATTTATGTAAAACGGTGTTGCCATGGTTACTAAGAAAAGAAATATCTGTAATTCCTCTTCCTACAATTTAAATTCAATTTCAGCCAGACGTTACACAAATAGACTTTATTTAGTTAAATAATTCTTTTTATTGAATTTAAACAATCGATGTTGCCATGAGTTATTATGAATAGACTTTTTAGTGAAATTCTCTCAAAACATTACTCTTCCGACAGTTTCGGTCAGATTTCAATAAGACTTGGTACACAAGTACATGTAGACTGTACTAAGACGCATCTTTCTTTCTTATACATATAAGTACACAACAGTAGAGCTACAGTATCGTCAGACACTTCTCGTTATGAATCCTCAAGAATAACAAAATTTTTAGAGACAAAATTCATTAATTTATAAATTAATAGTAAAGAACATATAGAGAGCAGTCAACTGTTGTCTTATGAAAGTTTGTTTGATAAACATACCAATAGATTAAAATGGTCATTTAGAGCAATTCTGTTTCTTTTCAGTCATTTGTAATAACAAACAAAAAGAGGGAGGGGGGATCTCTGTATGAGTTAGTTGTTTGTACAGCAATATGGGCCATCAGTAGTACGTTCTACAAGTGTAGAATATATGTTTGTTCCTCTGAATTCAAATATTTCATGATGAACCAAAATATACAATGTACATGTATGGTCAGAGACAGAATACATGTATGTTATTGCAATACATAAATCTTTATATGGAAACCCCTTCCTCCCTCGTTTTCTTGTTCAGAGTCCTCAGGACTCTTTAATCAGTAATTACAAGTTTCTTTTTGAAATCGATTCTTATTGACAAGTGACAGTTTTTTTTAAATACAGATTATGAGCTTTATTGTATTTATTATACAATACAAACGTCTTCACATTTTTCTTCACTTACTCGTCTCAGTCTTGAATGTTAATAACCAACACCCTGCTGTCAACGTAATAATAGTGTATGAATTTCAAGTGAAATTCTAGTGTTACTTAAGAAGTGCTCTTTTTGTTTGCATCTGTGTATTCTCAAAATATCAGTGCTGGATATCAAACAAATGTATGCATGGTCATATAGTTGATTTTAAACTTGAGACAATTTTATGTACCAGTAAATTAAAATATTTTGAGATTTCCTGTGAGGAAGTATAGAAATTATTGGTTAGCACTGTCCAGTAATATAATATTATGTATTTAAATAGCTTTAATCGAGAACAGTATTGGTCCTATAATCGATAATTCGAAATTGCTCTCTCAATCTTGCACTCATTTGTCTATTTTTATCTATGTGTTTGTGTATACATTATGAGATAACCAATAATTAATAAGTCCTGAGTCGTCAGGTAATTTCACTGTAGTATGGCAGACGTCATTCGCAAAATGGCGGGGCTCCCCTGCTGTGCACAGTTCTCCTTGAGATAAAGGTTTTCCGCAGACAATATGTTGATATGAAATGACAATAATTAACGCGAGCAGTCACAAAGGCATTTAAATCCGTGATGAAAACCCTTTAAGAACTCTGTCAAATCATTTAATAGAACTTTTCAGCTCTGTGCACATTAAATACTGGGTTTTAATCAATTTGTTGTGTTTTTCATCAACTCTTTATCCGTTTTTTTTAAGCACCGCCAAAAACAACACTTTGCAATGTATGCACATTTTTGCAAATTAAGAATCTGGACTTTTGCCCAGAGCACTGCAGAAGACTGTTTTATAATCCACTTTAATTTATAATTCCGCCAAATCACAGAGAGACGTGCGAACTTTTCAACGGATCAACACAAATCTCTTTTGAGAGAAGGCAACTTATATAATCTCATTGCCAGACTTTCGATCACAACCATGAAGAAAATGAAAAACAAATTTGAAAAAAAGTAAGGCACCTTGCACACATTCGTGTGGACGTCAGTATAATAAATAGATATATACATGTAATTCTACTTTAAACCGCAGAGACCTCGATTGGAGGTTCCGTCGAATTAGGGGGTGGGGTGTTTCCTCCCCCGGGATTGTCGTCTGCTTGATATTCTGTCGTCATGTGGGAGTCGGGTACCCCTTTAGGAGGTGAAGTTCTCTTCACAGACTTTTGACTTAGTTTGCTACTAAGTGTTCCATTCATCTGGCTTTCAACGCCCGTCGTCTTGGACCGAGTACCAAGATGGACTCGGGATGTACAAAATGCATCAATTTTTTCTTGCACTGAAGTGTCAATGCTCGGTAAAACTAAGGGGGCTAACTGGTCCTGTTTAGGGTTTATATAGTGATTGAGCTGAACAGGTCCATTGATACGCTGAGAGTGTAAAAGTTTCAGCTTCTGGTAGGGGTCACTCATAGCCTGGGAGACGAGCGCCTTCACAGGGCTGGGGTCTATTCGAGGAGTCCTTATCGGCGACCCTCTACTGTTCTTGGGTACCAGTTCGAATTTCCCTTGATGTTTTATAATTTTCCTAGCTGGAAAATGTTTGTATGTTTTCTCAAAAAAGGGAAGAGGGGTGGTTGCGGGTGAATCGGCCTTGATGGTAGATTCCGCGTCCTCTGTTCCTATTTTTGGCTTTTGCATCATAAAAGTAGTAGAGTAATAGGTGATTTCACGAGAACGCCCGACTGCTCCCCTTTCCGATTCCAACACACATTTATTAGTCAGTTTAGACGATAGATCCGCCACTTCTTGCTCACGGCACCTCTGGTTCATTTCAGTCAATATCTGCTGCTGTTTCCCTAGACGTCGCTTCTCAAAGCTCGTGGACAGTTCCATAATGGCCACTTTCTCGGGAGTTGCCACGCGGTGTCTCCCATCACGAAACTGAGTGATGTGTTTCAAATTATCCCGGGTCGGGTCCTTGAGAAACGGTGGCGGGGGCTCAAAATCCTCCATAGAAACTTGGGCCTGAAAGAGCCGCATGTTTCACTGTTAGCCACAGGCCTTGTCTCACACTTTCATGGCATAAACACACAAGAAGAAAAGTCCAATCGTAGGATCAGATCTAAATGTGGAATAAACACCCCGTATTCGCCTACGTCATCTTCGTATAATTATCCTCAATCACATTAATTGAATATCAATTTACATCGTTGAATTGTTCCGATTTCTTCCATAAAAAGTGCGCAGTGTCAACTGCTTGTAAGTTCCGTAACTATAGGAGGGATTAATTCACTCTCTGCTCGTTTAAATTTCCGATCATAATCAAGTCGTATATTTTCTTTCCCCTTCGTTAATTCCCTTTAATCATAAGTTTAATTCCTTCTTCTTTCAATCAAGACTGACTTCTGACAGAGTCACGGATATGTTTCCTCCGTATTGCAGTGCAGAAAGAACTTCTAAGTTTACATTTACAATGCAAATCGTCACTCGGAACCACGGCCCGTGTTTGGTGTTAGATTTCCGATTAAGCTAGTTGTGTATTGAAAACTGTCCAATATGACGAACCAGAAAAACAATTAGAAACATCAGCTATATATTATCAAAGATATGAATTGAAAAATGGCGAAACCGATATTGCAAATATTTGCGATAAATCAAAGTTTAAATAATGGGATCGGGTAAAATATCGAATTCTTTATTACTAAAATCTTAGTTTAAATTGCTGTACTTTAAATGTCACTTGACATAAAGCCCCTCACAGATAGAAAAGTTTCATATTTTTGTAGCAATTAACTGGGCCATACTGGTCTTTAAACGGTTCATTTCATCTCTACTCGAGCCGTTACCACACTATTGTACGTATGTCATTAGGATCAAATCAAATAGGGAAAGGATATGTTTGTCAAACACAAATATATAGGATTATACTCGGCCTTTTCCCGGCATTTGAATAAAAAGCTTTTTATAATATTTGTTTACAGTAACATCATTCGTTAAATGAAAAAGTCTTACAGTTGGTGGCAATTTTGAAGATCATCGATTTAAAGCTCGAAAACCTTGTAACGTATCAATTTAATTACTGTTTAAAAGGATTTATTGTTTGCTAATGACAATATTTATATTTCTTGCGGTTCTAAATGTCTAGAACATGAATTTGTTGTAACTTCAAGAAAAAGTTTCAAAAGTAATATTTGGATGAATTTGAAGGAGGCGTAAAGCTCATACGTACAGTCTCTTTTTTAAACATAAAAATGGACGTCCTTGAACAAGTAACGGCAAGGGGGGAGTGTAATATTAATGAATTTAAAAAAAATGTCAGTGAACATTTTAGCATGCCTATCAACAGATACACACCCTCATTTTAAAAACTGGAGGCACAACCCTGCGGGTGCATGCATGGTTCTAGCTGCTTTGTAACGCACACCTCTCCCCTCTCTAATTATGATAATCTCGTGGCTGCATAAGACAGAATTCACTTGCTCGTATATGCTCTGAAAATGTCCTTATTTTGGCTTCACTATGCCTAAAACATATTATTATTTAAAGTAATGTTCAGAGGCCGTTTAGTGATTTTTTATTTCCACGTTTAATCGTAATTGTGCTGTACATGCTCAGATCCAGAGTAAGCTGTTTCTACCTCCTTTTCGAACAGTTCTCTTCCCGGTGTTTCTTTATATTCATTTATTTATTTTAATTCTGCTATTATGGGTATACGAGACATTTTTATAAAAATAAACCAACAGATACGAAGTGTCATCACTCAGATTTCCTTTTAAATCTACTGGTATATGTACATTTACTTGCTGTCAAGCTTTATTTTGATGGTCCTTTAAAGCTTTCTATAATTTTATTTACTAACAAACTGACTTTAGGTTGATTGCCCCTCTGATAAGAGAGATAACTCTCTCTCTGGGAGAAATGTCCATTATTTGTATATTTAAACAACTCCTGATTAAAATAAACGATATATCTAAAAAATAAATTGCACAGCAAGGCATACTGAATTTGTGTGCATTTTAATTACTACAAATAAATCGCTAGAGTTATAGAGTGAAATCTTATATGAGTGAAAAGAGGGGCAATGAACCTTAAAATATGAACCAAATAGGGCGCATATGAAATGGGAAAATTGCTTTATTTATTATCCATAAAAATAACTTCAGATTATGACACCAAAATAAAAGTTTTCCGATAGGAAGAAAGGGGTTGTTTAAGGAATTAAAAAAGTTTAATTTTCTTATTTGCAAATCAGAACATTTTACTACATCCTTCTTATGTCATAAAAGTCGTTTTAATAAATTATGAACACGCAAACAGCGGCGTAGCTGCTATTAGACACTTAAGGCACGTGCCTACACTTATTTTAGCAGAAAAAAAAATATAGAATGAAAACTGTAAAAAAAAAAAAAATAAATAAATAAAAAGAAATGATTACATATCATTTTCGCCATTGATAGAGATCATGAATGTATAAACCACCAAACTGTGCAAAGTAATAATAACCTGCAATATATATGAAGTGAACCGGCTGTTTCACAGTAGGACTCGTCTCCTTATAAAATTCCTATATGCAAGTAATAAAATAGATATTAAAGCCTCCTGACGCTAACAAGATACATGTATCTTATGTGTGGTATTAACCTTCATTTTAATTATTAATTAAATAATGTTAATTAAGAGGAATTCAATTTTTATGGCTGTTCACCTGAATTTATTTCTTCTTTGTGGGTAGACTAGCTTTTTTCTGGAATGCGGCCTCCCGTTCCCTCGCCGCATACTGGGTAATTTTTGCCAAAACTTAATCAAAGTTCTGGCTACGCTCCTGGTAAAGGACAGAAAGGAAATATTGAATACTTGAAGAACCGCTTCAAGTCTCTAAGTCATTTCAAGTGAATCTAATAATAATTTATTGAACTCAATTCTATTAATTTAGACAAACAAAATAACGAATATTTCACTTTGTAATCTTCATAGAAATGTCGCCCGTCCTCTGATACAAATGTCCGACAAAAGTGCTAGTAGGTAACCGTGTCATTCAATTTCTTAACGATGCATGTAAAGTCGAATAAAATATACAATTGATTTATTTCCAAAAATTCCCTTAAAGTGAATAATGTCATGGTTAAAACGGTTACCACACTCCTCACAATTAACAAAAAATTTTAACCTGTTTCACATTCATACTTTGCGTTTTATACGGGCCTATTACTTTCTTAAAGATAAAAAAAGAATGTCTAGTCTTCATTTATTAAAAAAGAGTGTCTATTTAGTTTATATGAAGATCAACACATATGTACTTTTAGATGAGGATTATTTAAGTGTTATTAAAAAAAGCTCCTTTTCCTGAGTGAAATTCATCGAAAGTCAAATATTATTACATAAGCTACTGCATCCAGTCACTATTTCGCAGCAGTCATGTTATACGTTAATTGTATCATTCACAAAAGTGCAGGCATTCTTCATTGCATTCTTCACATGGACCAATCATTTTATAGAATCCATTTCTCAGACTCTGATATTCTTCCCATTGACCAATCATTATGCAGAATCTATCTGGTAAGTTTTTAAATTCTTCGCATTGACCAATCATTATGCAGTATCCATTTGGTAAGTTCTTACAAACTTCCAATCACTACTGACACAGAAAATGTTGCTCCCTTTTTTAGCCTTCATGAAAATAGGATATGGAATGTCTTCAATAATTCCAAGGAAGGTTCCGTCTCCAGACAACACATGTACGTTTTTACTATGAAATCCTGCCACGTAAATCTTGCCTCTTTCATCCTGATCCACCCCTCTTGCAGTTAAGAGATCAGGACTGGTGTACTTCCAGATTATTTCGCCTTCGACATTCATAGCGGTTACCGTATCATTAGACACGCTACTGTAAACAATATGGCCGCGGTCTGTCACTGTTGCATATAGACTGCAACCTTGCACTGGATATTTATGAATAAAGTTTCCTTCTTTGTCATACTTCAGAATGGCAGACTGGCAAGCAATGTAGAGGAAATCACCACCGATAGCAAGACCATAAGGCGCGTACTCTTTTTCTATTGAAAAACGCCTGGTTTCGGTGAGCGTATCGCTGGAAATAACACTAATGCATTTTTTTGTTTGTAAAGTAACAAAATATTCGTTCCCATCATGCTGAACATCAAATGACCTTCCCACTTTTTCAATTTCACCTAAAGAATCCCAGTCCTCGCTTGTCATAGAATACTTAAAGAGTTGCTGCTCAGTTCCATAAACACAGTTAGCGAAGAGAAAAGTCCCATCCGGAAGAAAAGTTCCACCTGTTAAATAGCCTTCCGGTATATTGAATTCATATAGGAGTCTAAAATTGGCGAGTCCACCATAAACTTTTTTCTCCCTAAGACTAAGACGAGAGAATTGTCCTATTCTTTTCATATCAGTAAGCTCTCTTGACATTTGCGATTCAATATTTACCTTTAATTCAACAAATACCTCCTTTCTTAGTATTTCAAAGCATCTTTTGACTCTCAGAAATTCCTTCATATAATACACGCTTCTTTCTTCCTCCAAATCTTTAAGTTTTTTCTTGCAATGCTCTGTAAACTTAACTCTTTCAGATATAGAATCAATTTTCTTGTTCAGCTTCGCTTTGCCTCTCTTTGTAAGCTCGCTCAGTTCTCCGAGATGTTCATTCTGTAATCTGTCCAGACGCTCATTAATCTCTTGTCTTAGTTCTTTTGTCTTCTCTATTACATCATCTGAAGAATCGTCAAGAACGATGACGTTTTCCTCTTGTTTCTCCCTCAGTTCTAACAACTTGTCTTCATAACTCTTCATCTCACTCAGTATGCTCCTAACTTCATCACTGTTTTTAATTCTGTCAGCGGCTTTATGTATCGCCTCTACACTCACACATTTTCTGTGATCGATACTGACACAGAGGCCACAACAAACCTCCCTGTGGTCGTTACAGTATAACTCTATCTTCCTCTCGGGGTGATACTGACAAAATTCATCTTTCATCAAAGCCCTGCTTATTTTCACGAATATTGCTTTAGGTTCACTTTCTGGGATGATGACATGCGCACGGCTAGCTAAGCTTCTCTTGTGGTACTTCACACAGTTGCTGCACAATAACTCCTGACAATCCACGCAGAAACTCTTCGCTGTTTCGTCTTCATCTTCTCTTTTACAAGGTGCACAAAATTTAGCCTTTCTGAGCTTATCAAATTTGTCTACAATATCACAGATGGGAAAACTTTGGGCCCAATCTTCAGGCTTCTCAGAAACATCCGGAGACGGAATGAATTCTCTACATATTGGACATGAAAATCCTACCGGGGCTTCCTTCGATTCACATGAACTGACGATGTACGAACTTAAACAACTATTACAAAAGAAATGTGAGCAAGGAAGGCACCTCGGTGTTTTCAGTTTTTCTAAACATATAAAGCATCCGGTAATGACGTTCAGTTTGGTTCGTAGACTGTTGGATGCCATGCTAAAATATTATAGATGAAATGAACTCACTCATTCATTTCAGCGAACCCCGTGTCCATAATGCCTGGTATTATTTTGGGAATACTGATCCCGATTTAAAATGGGAAAATTATGTTTTGAGAGAAAATAATTTTTCTCCTCTATATTCTGAGATATTCTGTACCCAGTCCTTTACATAATTGCTATTAGCAAAGTTGGAATATTTCTACTTAGAAAACTTCTTCCTTGTGTTTTAGAATTACTTTTAGCTAGTATAATTTTCAAGAACTTTATATTTTGACAGTATACTGTATTTATAAAGCTAAGGTCTCTGATCCTGAAAAAACATATTCTTCATTCATAGTATAATTCCTGAAATCTGTTCGATGTAAAACACAATCTAAACTAATCTTAAAAAGCCCAATATATTTTTAATGTAGGAATATTTATTTAGAAAGGGTCACACACACAAAAACAATTCTTTCAATATCACAAGTGTATTTTCCGAGAGGTCATAAATTAATGTAATACATTGAGCAAATTGACACTGAATTACTGAATCTTCAATATATGCTTGTAAAGTTGCTAGTAGAGCACAATAGCTAGGGATTTTTTAAACATCTTTTTTTTTCATATATATACACATGATATATTTCTTCTTTCATCCTCACATGTTGCATTTTAAAGTCAAGACAGAGTTATGGAAGTGATCAAATAAATCACTTTCGAAAGCTGAGAAAAAACATGGTTGTTTTTTCAGAAACCAAAGGCGGATCCAGCGCCGGCGCGCCGGGCGTGCCCCCCCCTTTTTTTGAAATTTTGTTGTTGTTGAAGTTTTGTTTGTATAACAAGCATTTACTTTCGTATTAGTCCAGTTAAGTACATAAATTGAAAAAAATTATACTGCTCATCCCCCCCCCCCCCTACAGTTATGAAATTCCTGGATCCGCCGCTGGAACTTATTGGAAGGGCCCTAGATGTTGCAATTATAAACAAGTACATTTTTTTTCTTTTACATGGAATTCCATATGAATGCATGGCTTTTATCATCTGATCATTGAATTATCGTAGAGGAACAAATGCTTGATCGAGTTTGTATAAACTATTAATTTGATTGACTGTTTTGTGTGTTTTGGGCGGGGGGGGGGGGGGGGGGTCTAAGATTTGTTTGATCAATGGACATGCAGATACCAGATCAGATCGACTTTCCTCTGTTCCTACTTGCCTTTCACTCTCTATGTAAAAGACTTACGTATATAGGGACATCAAAAAGGAAGGATTAAAGCATTCAATACAACCCCTTTGCATATATTGATGAAATGGATGAAAAAAATGATTCAATGTATACTCTGAAATCTAATTCATCTTACTCCCCACCGCCCCCCCCCCCCCCTCCACACACACACACACACACAATCCACAAGTCGTCGTATGTCGCAGTACACAATCCATGCATACGATGAAAGTACTGGGAACAAAGCGATGACTCTTTTCTATTACAACACAATATACAACTGTACATTAATTTGACGAGGTTCTGGACAACTAAATCATGAACATAAAGAGATGGCTCCTTAACACCGTTTAACAGTTAGTGATACTACCCCGCCTTTTTCATAGCTAAAGGTGCATTTCAGTATTCAAAGTTTATATCTATTCATATTTATTCATTTGTGTTCATTTAGTAGCAAGATAAAAAAAGATTATATGATATTCAATATTCATAATACTAGTACTAGGTTTATTTATTGTTCATATGTAATATATGTAATCGCAATGCACAATCCATGTACTATGATAAATGTACTGGGTACAAACAACAGTTTTATTGAATATTTTACACATAATTATCAATAAAAAGAAAAACAATAGCAATTTCAGAAAATCTCACTGAATATTCAAATTCTTTTCCTGGTCTATCACAATGTTAGAAATACTTAAATCTATTTTAAAATGTGTCATTCCGTTTCCATTTTACATGCATCGAAGAGCAGATCACTCTTACTACATAAACTACCATGGAACTCTTTCCATTGCATGAGCAGTGTTTAATAGCTTCCTTAAATTATGATTCCGTGGTCCAGGAGCAAAAATCTCAGGAACATAGTAGGAATTCTCAAGGCAAACTCAATAAAAATATTAATGTAGTTATTCTCCTTTCTTAAAGAATATTTATTTTATATGTATTTATAAGGTGGGGGGGGGGGGAGGAGGAAGGGGTTAGAATGCAGGAGAGGTTGTTTGAGTAAATCGGAACTTTGACGTCTCCAAGCAATGGCAAGTTAAACAGAGATTTGGTGAAAAAGGGTGTACATCCTCACTTTTGAATACAAAGCCTTGGATTTCCGAGTTACTTAATTTCTTGATATATTTTTCTTCAAGAAAAAAAAGGATGTTTCGTGATTATTGAAAAGGATTTTAGAATACAAACTCAAAGAATGGATGGATCCTGATTTTCACGGATTTAAATGCGGTTTGAATACACCCGGTTTTTTTTTTTTTTTTTTTTTTTTTTTTTTTTTTTTGATTAAAAGAAGCTGCTTTATCCTTTTATATCATGTCCGTCGGATCCCGGGGGTGGGGGTGGGGACGGTGGGGGGGGGGTGCCTTCTCAGTAATTATTTTTTTCAGTATATACAATGTACTTAACAAGAACGAAAACAGAGGTATATGTAATTTACAATTTTGCCCCTTCAGTGATTTTGGAAGTATATGCATTTGTATGATGCATTCGGAGGGAAAAACTTTTTTTTTTCCCTCTCTCTCGTCAAAAATTTCTGTTAGGTTGTGCACTAAATGAAACTGCTTTCTACAGGCCTGTGTACATTTTTGCGTCCCAAAATTGCGCAATTACTTTGCCATATTTCAACAAAATTTCAAAAAGGAATTATGTATCTTTTTTTTTCTTTTTTTTTTTTAAATATAGATAACCACAGAAAAAAATATTTATTCCCATTCGCAGGCCATACGTAGTACAGTATTATACCAATTTCCTTTCGGGAGTGGGGGATGGGGGTGTTTAGAACACAAGGTTTATTTCAAAATGTAAACTTGAACTTACAGGAAGCAGCATTTATAAACTTACAAAGTTTTCAGTATGAATAAATACAAATTTTACAATGTGACAATTACTAGTGTTGAAGGGATGCATTTACTGCCTTACATATTTTAAGAACTCTCTATACACTGCACACTAAAGAGTTCTGATTCTGTGGTATTTTTATGTAAATTGAGTAATCTGCCCTTAGATCTAAAATAAAATAAATTGAAATCTACAGTTTATCAATCAATTTCTAATCAATTCAAGCATTCTTAACATTCTGATACTCCAAGATAAATTAATCTAACAACTCATTTGCATGCTTTTTCCCCACTTAGGTAAACAACAGTGATTTCTGTTCATCAAAACTTTGCTGACTTTCAACATTTTTCCTGGGGGTAAAAGCCAGGCACCCTATTTTGAAAATGATATTAATAAACTGAATATTTACACCTTTATACAATATAATTTTCTCAATGTCCAAAAAACATTTTCGTTTAGTGTAGAGAGGGTCCTTAAATCTAATCTGTACCTACTTTCTACTGGTAAATTCAAAAGTTTAAAATAAAACAAGAGGCCCATGGGCCACATCGCTCACCTGAGCACATTGGCTAGGAAAAAGCACAAATCACTTCAGTATTGAAAAGTTTAAAGGGGGATGGGGGAGGGCTTGGATTTTGAACTACCAGAGAATGCTTCCATATCAATATAACAAATGGCTTTGCTGTTCTTGAGCAGAAGATTTTTAAAGATTTTTTTCCTATATATTCCCTTGTTGAAAATTTGATCCCCCATTGTGGACCCTCCCTACCCCCCCCCCCCATTATAAGAACAAACTTGAATCTACACTACCTGAGGATGCTTCCATATCAATATGACTAAACATGGCTTTTCTGTTGTTGAAATTTTTTTTCCTATATATTCCTATGTAAAAATTTGATCTCACATTGTGGCCCCACCCTACCCCTGGGGGTTATGATTTGAACAAACTTGAATCTACACTACCTGAAGATACTTCCATATCAATATGACAAAACATGGCTTTGTTGTTCCCGAGAAGAAGATTTTTCAAGTTTTTTCCCCTATATATTTCTATGTAAAACTATGATTCCCCATTGTGGCCCCACCCTACCCCTGGGGGTCATGATTTGTATAAACTTTAGTATCAATGTGACTAATTGTGGCTTTGTTGTTCTTGAGAAAAAGATTTTAAAAGATTTTTTTCTATAATTCCTATGTAAAATTTTGATCCTCCATTGTGGCCCCACCCTACCCCCTGGGGGTTTTGATTTGTACAAACTTGAATCTACACTACCTGAGGATGATTCCATATGAATAAGACTAATTGTGGCTTTGTTGTTCTTGAGAAAAAGATTTTTAAAGATTTTTTTCTATAATTCCTATGTAAAATTTTGATCCTCCATTGTGGCCCCACCCTACCCCCTGGGGGTTTTGATTTGTACAAACTTGAATCTACACTACCTGAGGATGATTCCATATGAATAAGACTAATTGTGGCTTTGTTGTTCTTAAGAAGAAGAATTTTAAAGATTTTTTTCTATATATTCCTATGGAAAACTTTGATTCCCCATTGTGGCCCCACCCTACCCCTGGGGGTCATGATTTGAACAAACTCGAATCTGCACTACCTGAGGATGATTCCATATCAATATGACTAATTGTGGCTTTGTTGTTCTTGAGGAGAAGATTTTTTAAGATTTATTGCTATATATTCCTATGTAAAACTTTGATCCCCCATTGTGGCCCCACTCTACCCCAGGGGGTCATGATTTGAACAAATTTGAATCTACACTATGTAATGAAGGTCTCACACAAGTTTTAACTTTTACAGCTCAGTGGTTCTTGAGAAGAAGATTTTTAAAAGATACCACCAAATTTTCACTAATTCTTAATTATCTCCCCTTGAAAGAGGATGTGGCCCTTCATTTGAACAAACTTGAATCCCCTTTACCCAAGGATGCTTTGTGGCAAGTTGGTTGAAATTGGCCCAGTGGTTCTGGAGAAGAAGTTGAAAATGTGAAAAGTTTACAGACGGATGGGCAGACAGACAGACAGACAGACAGACTGACTGACGGACGACGGACAAAATGTGATCAGAAAAGCTCACTTGAGCCTTCGGCTCAGGTGAGCTAAAAATGTTATGATTATGTTTCAATATAAAATATACAGTATTTGAATGTTGTCTATAAAAGAACATTTCCTGAATTATGTACATGCATGTTCTAAGGTATTTCGCATAAATCTACGCAGCCAAATACAAGTGTGATACTAGTACTGTCATGGCTCTTTATGTACATTGTGTTACAATGCCGCGGCCCGCCTGTAGACCCCCAGTGGGTTCAGCTACTGAATTCCAACAATGTTTAAGAGTAAATTGTAACCTTATAATTAGTCTCCCTGGTTATAATCACGGGGGGGGGGGGGTGTCACGTGCATCTCCACTCCCAAAAACTTTAGCAACAATTGTCGAATTATACACATTTTTTAAATTAGATTTTTTAATTAACACGCTTACTTGTTCACCATTGAGTTTTTTTTTAATTCCTCTCTTTAAATTTCTTGAATTGAGCGAAATTAAGCTCCCTCATCCCCTTCCACTACACACTCTATCGTGTCTTAAGATGTCTTACAATGTACGTCTAAAAATATTTTCTTTTTTTCTAAGAATCAGTAAGTTTGCAACTAGCTGTTTTAAAAGATTAACATGAATAATATATAAGAATTTCAAAGTCGGAAAGACTTTACTGTGCAGGTGATGCTTGTGTATATTCATTTCTATTATTTCCTCAAATAGCCTATAGCAGAATTTTTATCTAAAATATTGAAACATTTTACTACGAAAGTTGTCACTTCACTTGACTAAATAATATTCTTCCATGTGCTTTCAGTAGCTTTAGAAAGTGAAGTCGTTACATGATAGTACACACTTCATATCGATTTCTCGGTATGCCTAGGAGTTGTCTCTCTCTTTCCAAGGTTTGATCTGCAGATAAATTACCTTTGATCAATTATCAAAACGATCCTAATGTGTGGCATAAATTTCCTTATTGATACCCGGGATGAGTTTGTTAACGATACATGTGAAAAAGGCTCAAATACACTGCATTTGAAAACAGAATTTTTTTCTACCTACTTTAAACATTTTCAATTAATTAAACAAGATAAATGTTTCTGAGACGCAAAATATCATATACATGTACTTCACTTTGTCAATCATAAGCGAGGAGAATTAGGAATTTAAATCGACATTGATTCGTAACAATATTATTCTGGAAATAGAAATTTTAATGTTTTGAAACATTGTTGCTGCATTTGCATCCACACTCAACATTGTACAATATAAATATCTGTTACTTTATTTCATATACTCTAATGTTCTTCCAGTTGCTACAAACACAGCAAATATTACTTCCTTCTTTAACTTTCATAAAAGCAGGCCTTGGAATGTTTTCTACAATTCTGATGAGACTGCCACTAGAAGACAATATATGAACATTATTACTGTCTGTACCAGCCACATAGATATTATTCATCTCATCCTTGTCCACACTATAGGGTGTCCTAAGTTTAGGGCTGCTGTACGTCCATAGTGCTGTTCCTTGATCGTCCATGGTACTCACATTATGGGTGTACTCATTGCTATACACAATGTGTCCATTGTCCACCACAACTACGTACAGAACTCTGTCTTCTACGGGGTAAGAATGAATCAAGTTCCCTTGCATATCGTACTTTAGTATTGCTGTTTCAGAAGCAACCAATAGAAACTTCCCCCAGATTGCTATACCAAAAGGATAAAACTTTGGATGAACAGAAAATTCACGCAGTTTTATGAAGGTATCATTTGAAATGACGATTACACGTTTATTTGTGTGGTCAGTCACATACAATTCATCTTCGACACATCGTACATCAAAAAGATAACTGTCGGAATGGAATGTTTTTAGCCGTGTGGAAGTATCATTGGTCAGAGAATACTTATTGAGGCCAATTTCACTTTTACTGTGACTTGCTACTACGAAGGTTCCATCCGGAAGAAAGGTGCCACTGCATATATTCAGACCCAGTGCATCAAAATCATAAAGAACAGAAAAATGGGCGTTTAATAAGTCCAAGTCAGTGAACTGGTTTCTTACAATATTTTTTACTTGAGGCCTTAACAGTAATATTGAATTTTTAAACCTTTCAAGTTCTCTAGCTGCATTAGATTCAATCTGGATTCTGAGTTCTTTTTTGCTTGTATTTTGTCTTTTCATTATTTCAAAATTTCCTTTATTTTTATGATATTCCTTCATAAAAGAAGCACCTCTTTCTGCTTTCATTTCCTGAAGTTTTGTTAAACAGATCCTCGTAAACTTAATCCTGTCTGAAAGAGAATCAATATTTTTGTTTAACATTCCCCTGCTCTCCTTCATAACTTTGCTTAATTCATTATGATGCTCGCTTTCCAGTTTGTCTAATTGTTCAATTATTTCTTCCTTCAGCTTCTTTGTTTCTTCTGTAATAAGATCCGAAGTACTGTCTATCTCACTGATATTATCTTCGTGGCTCTTTTTTGCTGTCAACAGTTCCTCTTCATATTTTCTGAATTCCTTTTGCAATGCTTGTAAATTATCACTGTTCTTTATTCTCTCTACAGCTTTCTGTATGTCGTCGATGCTGTCACATCTCCTGTGCTCCGTACTTATACAGAGAGTGCAACATGGCTTACCGTGATCATTGCAGTACAACTCAACCTTTCTGTCGGGGTGCTCCTGACAATTTTCGTTTCTTAGTAAAGATGTTAATTCAATTACCGCTTTAGGTTCATTCAAAGATACAATTTTGTGTGTTCGCGATGCCAGATTTCGTCTGTGATATTTCGTACAGTTTCTGCATAAAAACTCTTGACAAATGAGACAAATATCCGTTGCTTCCTCCTCTTCGTTTTCCCTCTGACACGCTGAACAAAAACTGGATTCCTTAAGTTGGTTGATTTTTTCAAGTATTTCACAGATTGGGAATTTTTCAGCCCAGTTTTCTAGTTTGTCGCCGGGGAATGGTGATGGAATAAATTCCTTACAAAGAGGGCATGAAAACCCTATGGGCACCTCTTTAGATTCACATGAAGTCATGATGTAGGACGATAGACAACCGTGGCAAAACAAATGTGAACAAGGCAGACATCTTGGTGTCCTGAATTTTTCAAAACAAATGGAACACGATGTAAGGTCATTCTGTGAAGGTGATGAAGCCATTGTTCTATGTTCACTGAGTATCCCAAGTAGTAAAATTCTGAGAAAAAATCACAATCGAAAGTAGAGTCATTTGCTCTCATTTTTGGAAGATCGATCCCGATCAGAAATAAGATTACAATATATCAACAAGCAGCAAGTTATCTAAAATAAGAAGTATATTACTGTTTTTAACAGAATAACATATATGTAAATATTGTACAAATTTTTTATCAATGCCTAGAATTTTATATAATACTATACATTTTTAAAAATAAAAAAGAACGAGGTCGCTTTTGATTAGCATTCAGCAGGAATCAGGGCGCACTTAAAAAATGAAAATTTCATTGTTCCGTCACATAAAGTTTTAGCAGTCTTTCGGTTTCCTGTAAAATAGGAAAGGGAAATATTTTCTCGATATTGTGTTTTTATTTGCTAAAATATAACTTGAAAATAAGCTAGATTTGAACATATTTTATTATGTAGAAACCTAATTGGATTGGGTAGCAGGCATAGTCTATATAAGCCCTCTCCACACGATGTAAGGCCATTCTGTGAGAGCAATGGCTAGATGATTCATTTGCTACAAAATGTCATATTTTTAAACACGTTTTTCTAAAAAATTGCTATTTCTGGGTCATCTCTCCATGATTTTTAAACGTTGTTTGTATGCAATCTAATTTAAAGAAACAATCATTTGTAAAAAATGGAAAGAAAACCCAGAGACCATAAAAAATGAACTCCCCCCCCCCCCCGAAAAAAAAAATCCAGTGTGTAAATGCGGTGCTTCAATGTTGTTTTAAAATCAAGGATGCATGTGTAGCGATAATAGTTCAGTAGTATGCGTTACCAATCCAGTGCAATGGAGCTGATTTTTTTTTTAAATTCTATACTCGCATGGAGCTTTAATATTTTTTGTATTGCAAACAATCAATTCTTTTGTCAGTTTAATTTTTTGTACTGATGTATTTTAAAATGGATAAATTCTGATTCTGTTGCATCGAGAGCGAAAGCAATTCTTCCAACCTACTGATAATTTAATATAAAGACGTACTTGTAATTGTATTTAACTATACCTTTTATTATATCTTGTAGGTGTTTATTATTTATGTGAAGCATAACTATGTTATAGTTTGATTATTAAGATAAGGGGACCTTAATATTACAAAGTGACATATTATTTCAAACTAAATGTAACATTTTCCTTTGTGCAAAATTTTCTAAAGCCTGTCCAGCTGTGGTCAGCCGACCAAATCGTGGACATTTACACTATAAATGTTTCGTACACATGATTCCTGCAGATCACACGCCAAATTCATCCATCTTCTTAATCACCTGTTCAATTAAATCTCATAATTATATGCTTTCTTTTGTCAATAAACCATAAATATTGTACAGTAGAAAATTATATGTATTTTAATCTTTATATAGTTATTAACCCGCGCGCTTAAGTTTCGTAGAAATTGCTGTTTCGAAAAAAACCCACTTGTATAGTAACTTAAAACAAAAGTCCATAGGTCTGGGATTGACAATAGTTTGTTATTAAGTATATACTGCCATCCTTAGTATCAGACTCTCTTCTGAACTGACAGCTCTTACATGTATATGTGCTTATCACATGTTATGTAAATAAAAACACATAAAACATTTATTTATTTATTTTTTGTATGCTTATTTGATCTTTTTTAATCAGAAAATACCTTTAGGCTATTGAATTAATGAGAAAAAATATCAAGATTTTGGGGAAAAGTAGTTTTAATTAGTTCAAGTCACAAAAAGTTAATTAGGCCCCCTGCAAAAACACTGCACAGAGAACTACTTACTACATTAAGACTATTTTAAGAACATTCATTATAAATATATAATCATTCAAATTCATGATTCGAGATTAAAAAAATTAGTTAAAACTATTATTACACATAGTTTGTTATTCAATAAAATCAGTATTTTTTGTATGAAACCGTCTATAAAATCTGTGTATAACAAAAGTTCAATCATCAATGAGTAATTAGTAATGTGCGGGAATGCTTTTATATACATGTAACGAACAATACATTTATTGGCACTAAAGAGCTAAGTCCACGAACCATCAACAACGGCCTCTTCTCAAAAATTAATGTGATGTGTATTATAGATAATGTAGAATTTTTGCTTTTCATAATCGTTTTCCTTTTTTCAATATATTTTATACTTTTTAAAATTAGATATTGCAGTATGGCAGTTTTGATAGAAAAATGCAATAGGAACGTCATTTTTTGTAATGTAACGTCACGTCAAAGAGCGATAGAAATGACTTAGTTTGCAATTACAATGTACCAATATACGAATTTAAGACTTAAAATTGAATAATTGGATATAGTTATTTATGTAATCAAAAGCATTTAATTTAGAACCATAATTTAAAAAAGCAGATAAAAGTATTCATTTGATATACCAGTCAATTCTGACTGGATAGAATTGAAAAAAAAAATCTTTTCAAAGAAAATGACTTCAACTGCGGTATTTTTAGATCAATGAAATAGTGAATATTTGAGCTTTTAAAAATCTCTGTCTAAATAAATTATCATTGAAAAAATAGTCAGCATGTATTTCCTAAACATTTGTAACAATAAATTGAACGCCTCATCGTTTTTGTTCATGTAAAAGAGAAACTGAAAGGAGTTACGTAAAATACGGAACTCATTCAAAACTTGTTATTCCTAAATACAAAATTTTGTGGAAAAAAATGAATTATATTTAAAAGAAAATCACCTAAAAACAAAAATGTTAAATCCGCTTAAAAATTAAAGATCTATGGTATTGACGTAGATGAATTCACGAGACTTCCCCACGTTCCATCAAAGAATAAACGGGGCATATATCAACTGAAATATAAATATAGGTATTACCTGATTTGTTGTTCGTAATACTTGTACATGTATATATTTACTGCAAGAAATAAATAAAGGTAGAAATTTGTGTTATACTTAAATATAATTTTGAATGTATATAAACAAAGAGAGAGCATGTAACATCAAGATAAATCTTATATCTATACTGTTAAACAACTTTGATGAATACGCATGTGAGATATATCCGCGAGATTTGCATGCAACCCAAGCTCGCGAATAGTTATCTTCGCGAACCAGCCAATCGCTAGGCCATATTTTATTCCCGTAAAATAATAAGTGTGTTGTAAAGTGGAGATAAATAAATGATGTTTCTGTTTTTCTTCTCAAAACTTATCAGTATCTATTTACCTATAAATGTAATAAATTTAGTGTGTTTTATTGGTGTACTGCTTAACAATCACTGCTTTCAATTTCATTTTCACATTATATGATTTTCATGTGAATAAATAGAGCAGTATTGCGTATGTAATGCTCGTATACGTCAAGATAGTAAGTGGGATACATATATACAGGCATTATTATTTTGCAAATACTCAGCGTAAGATTGATTTTACACGAACAAGGACTTGCTAATACTAGTATATGTAAAGCCTTACGACAGACAGTATAAGAGGAAAAGGGTAAAATGCTCCTTTACTCTTGAAATAGAGAATATTTCTGTAGTAAACAGAGGCAGAAATAAAGGGGGGGCATACAAAATTCTTTTTCAGTGTGTCAACAATGGTTTGACATGCGTTAAAAAAATATTTACATTTGCTGTGTTTTTCTACTAAGCCAACTGTAAAATTGATTTGAGAGTCATTTTTGTGTATACTCACGCGTAGAAATATACACGGAGAAACTCGCGCTAAAGTGACGTCATAATGAGGCTGCAGAGACGTAAATAAAAATGAAACGATATAGGGCAGCAAGAAATTCAAATATTGAGTACATTATTGGTGCTTTTAAACTTTTAAAATGTAAATATATGGAATGTGTTTAAGTTTAGTGTGAATTATTGGTGTGTAAATCACACAGACTTGCACGTAGCCATATTTTTCATGAAGCGCGCTAGCGCCTACGTGACAAGTCTGTGTGATTTACACACCAATAACTCACACAAAACTTAAAAACATTCCTTAAATATTTCCAAGATTGTTTTATACATACTCTATAGGACATTGACCCTTAAGCACATGGCACTATTAACAAACACATCCTTTCTTCCCCTTTCACGTAGATTTTATAGTCATGAATCCTATAGTTTTAGATAATTCAATGTTAATATAATTGCATGTAGTGCTCTTATAATTTATGTCAAAACAAACCCCACACCCTTCTCACTGTGAAGTAGGAAACAACTAATCTCAATAGCGGATTCAGCGAAATTCAGTAATTTTCCCACCACCACCACAAAGAAGTTCACCGGAGTTAGTAAGAAGAGTCGTGTATATATATGAAAGAAAACTGCTTGTCAATAAGAAGTGTCCAACCAAAATCCCCCGATAAAGTTTTTCATGTTCGAACTGGTTTATTTTTCTTGTCAAAAAAAAAAGGGGGGGGGTGTATTTTTGGCGTTGGTATTCACAGATCCATCATTGACTCTAAGACTTACATTTTTTTTAAAAAAAATTCTTAAGTGATTCAATCATGAAAGCCGGAAACTGGCATTCAATTGAAAGTCTCTTATAGGAGAAATGCGTATTAGTATTACGGGCCTAAAATTAACATGGGAGGTGCTGGTCAAGAAAACTTGAGAAACAATTTATACACAAGTAGTTTACATGTACACATTTTACTCGTTATTTACATTAGTGTAGTGACGAATAAATAATTCTGAATTTTTTGAAACATAATTCAATTCCCCTTTTCTTCTTTCTCTTAAATAAGGTTTTTTTTTCTTTTTTCTTTTTTTTCTTTCTTTCTTTTCTTTTTTTGGCTTGTCATTTATTTTTTAACTTGACATCCCACCTGCACTTCATCTCACTCCTTATAATAAACAATGTCAAGGGTCATATAATTATTTAAAAAATATGGATCTTGTTTCTGGAAACATATTTGAAATGTGTTGAAACCAGACAGCATCCTTTCTTAATGCTTTTAAAGAAGGGTGAACGTTACTTTTCCAGGTGCATAAGAATTATAACGCGGGCTTTTTTTAAT